TTTACTTATCAAGTGACATACTATTTGTACAGAATAAATCAATAGTCTTCATTTACATGGCATATTTATATAAATATTTTTATAGCTGAAGCTTATCCTTTTAAGCATCAAATGGTTTTATGCACATCTTTATTCTTTATGTGGTATATTTGAATATAATTTAACTTTACTGTCAGAAGTTGGAATCTTTGCAAAAGTAATTATTTTCCTTTGCTTCAGATGGTCTCTTAGGTTACATATCTTTAGACTGCTTCTACTGATAAGGGACCTTGTTACTCCAGTATTTGATTTTTTTTTTCCAGTGGTCCACCTTTAGCAATTTGTTTTCTTTGTTTTTGCCTCTTCATCTAGCTATGTCCTAGTCACTAAGTCTGAAGTATACTTGGGAGAACCTGACAACTGGTTCATAGTTGTCTGGAATTGGCTTATTTCTTCTGTGAAATAATGTTGGTAAAGTTAGATTGTGGTAGTCCATCTTTTGGTGTTTTGTGTTTTCAGTTGCAGCCATAGCTATATTTGAGATGGTTTTGGTTGTTCAGTGTTTGAGAGCCAGCAGTACTGCGGTAGTTAGCTGTTTGGGTTGAAATTAAAAGCCAAAAATGAAATACTTAGCCAGTAATGGATACAGAGTTCTTTTTAAAAAGTTTGCTTCAACTGACCTAATATGCTAAAATTAAAGAAACATTTTGATAAAGCATAAGAAAAATGCTAGGATGTAAAGGCAAGGGCAGTAGCCCAATGTACTCCAAAATTTTCAAAGGATAACACAACTGATTACATTTCCCATTTGGGTAGGAATTTTTTCTATGGAAAAACATAGTCGATTTTTAATGGCTGAATAAAGACTGCCACACTTTCTTTGGGGTATTCGTTCTTATGTTACCATCAAAAAGGTAAACCTGACATTTTCAGTTCTTTTCCTGACATTCAGATTAAATGGATAAAAGCTTTTATTCTTTTCAGTTACAAACAATTCTAAAGAGATGAACTAGTTTTATTTCCCAGAGCAAGAATGTTGATTGGTTAAAAATATACAGATTGAAATAATCAGAGCATTTTCTGAGATTAAATCATTATTCCCATGTTTTCCTTCTGCCATTGTGGGTTTCCTTAAATACAAACAAACAAAACAAAACCACATGAAACCCAAACCAGATGTCACTGTTCCCAGTACGGCCATGTACTCTGTTTCTCAAATTGGGAAGTCCTCATTCCCTCTGAGCTGGCAATGGTTCATTACAGTGAGCTCGTGGGTTAGGAATAGACCTATGAAGTTTCTGCCCTCTTCTGTCTCCATGAACTTTAGTAACTGCACTTGGTAAGACTGCAAATAGTAATGACAAATCTGTACCACTTCAGTCAGCCATGGGTGTTTTGAAGATGAAAACAGAGGGCTTTCCCTCTCCTATACATATTTTTCTATTCTCCCCTGTTCATAATTGCATTAATGGTATTGTTCCTCACCTATTCCTCACCTTGTAGTAATAATTACTGGTGATTTCTTATATAGATTTGGAATGTCACGATTTTTTTTTTTTAGTCCACGTAAAGATCTTGTAAAACAATTTCACCTTTAAATACTGTTCCCCTCACAATTCCTTCAGCCAAGTGCTCTTCCTTCCTCAGCCCGTGGCCGTGAACGGGCAGACATGCACGTGTGTCCTGTGCTGCACACAGTGCTACTTAGGTGTGTGCTGCTTAGGCAGGCAGACGTACGATTTGTACACACTACATTTTTGAAAATTCCTATTACTGTATAAAATACAGTTTAATAAAGCTGAATTAGTAAAAAAAAAAAGTAGTTTACCTTTTTAATCTTCCATTTTCATTTTTAACTTTTTTTGTTTTAAAGTCCGCAGATGCACTTTTGGTGGCAATCGACTCTGAAGTAGTGGGAGCTGTTGATATACTTCTAAATCATCGATCAAAATCATCATCAAGACCAACTATAGTAGTTAGTACTCTTAAATACTTATTAATTTGGATTTTTAAATGAAAGTAGATCTCCTGGAATTGCCATTTTTTTCTTCCCCCAAATTAATTATATATTTTTAAGAACAGATTTTTTTTTACTCCATAAAATATTACTTTAAAGGAAGTAAATAATTGCAAGAATGATAGTATTGCTTTCAGGAAGCTTTTTTTCATTCAGTTGATATTTCCTTAATTTGTCAGTGTGGAAACCAGTATTTTTAGTTTGGAATATTCTGCAGGTAATGTTGAAAATACGGATTAGTTTTTGATAGATTTAACAATTAAATGTAAACAATGAAACCATATAATTGGAAGAAAATGAAGTTAAATATTTGGTTAACTGGCAGTGGAAAAAATTTTTTAAAGCATAAGAGCAGTGGGCAAAATATAGTGGTAGAGTCTGGCTATTTTTTGAGCCAATAGAAGTTCAAACAACAGACAGAATGTAGAAAGTAATAAATAGCTATGAGAAAGTATTTAAAACAAGTCTCTCCAGTAAATAATATTAGATAATGAAAAATGTTGAAATTATGATAGAACGTAAAACCTCAGAAAGAAGATACAAAGCATTAAAACCTACTGATGGCAGGGCTGGGAAGGTGGCTCAGTGGTAGAGCACTTGCCTCGCATGCATGAGGCCCTGGGTTCGATTCCTCAGCACCACATAAGCAAAAAGAAAAAAGCCGGAAGTGGTGCTGTGGCTCAAGTGGTAGAGCGCTAGCCTTGAGCTGAAGAGCTGAGGGACAGCGCCCAGGCCCAGAGTTAAGGCCCACAACCGGACTCAAAAAAAACCAAAACCTATTGATGGTCAGATATAAGGTATTTGTTTTTGCTTGTCAAATTAACAGACTTTAAAAACTAGAATAATCAGGGATGGTGAGGGAGTACTGGAGGCTTACACCCTACTGGTGGGGCCTGTATACATGATGCGCCATAAACAAGAAAGATGCTTGTATTCTTCAGCTTAGTTCTTTCTCCTCTAGTCATCTATGATAGTCAGGAAAATAGGCAAATGATTGATTAAGGCCTTGTTTCTTGTAGTGAGAAAAGCCCCATGTGACACAACTCAAACATCTTGAAAGTAGCTCAGTGGTAGATGGTTTGCCTGGAGGCCTAGATTAAATTCCTAGCAAGGGGGGTAGGCGGGGGAGACAATATTTGAAGAGAGAGAAGAGAATTATATAAATAACTACATGTATACATAATAAATGCTAGTCATTTAAATATTTTTTTTAAATATTGGAAAAATAAGCAAGGAAAAGTGATAACGATGAATTGGAACATACAGCTTCGTATTATAGGTTGAAGCTATGGGTAGGAAAGCAACTGTATTGAGATGCAACAAGGTGGTGCATCTCTTGGTCATCTCTTACTGACTGTAATTAAGGTATTTCTTCTTTTTTAAAATGTTTGCTTTAAAATTAGAAAGATAGTTGCTGCTAATCAAAGAAATGTCCATTTGAAATGAGATATTTATTTTTCATCATATTTAAATATTACAATATTTGTTGTTGTGGGGATACAGTAAAACAAGCATTTTAAATAGCTGTTGAGTATAAACTGATTATATTCCAAAAATACCTTCTTTTGGTTGGTAGCGGTCTGTCTGCCCTGATCTGAGAACTATGGGGCCACTGCAGAATTTCATACTTTGTCCTATTTAACTAAACATTTTTTTCTCTCATTTAGGCTACCACAAAACTGTGAATATTTGGCTGATCAGTAAAGTGCTTGCCTAGCAGGCACAGATTCCCTAAATTCAATCCCTACCACCACCACCAAAAAAACCCCAAAAGACAAAAAACAAAAGTGTGACTGTCTCCAGAGGATAGGACCTCCTACTTTAAGAGATACTAAGAAACCAACAGGAATATAAGTAGGCCTTTAAGAATGTAGCCTTATCAAAGGACCATGGCATCCTAGATTCCTCCTATTTAGTTTTTTTTCCATCTGTTTTGCAGTGGTGCTTCTATTGGTATGCCTATTTCTAGCCTTTTGACTTATTTCTCATGGGCACAAAGGAGTTGTGGTATGCTAGGTACAGGTACTTAGAACTACTAACAGGTTTTTATTTCATCAATGACTTTAAGTTTCACTTGATGTGGACTTGATGAGCTTCACTGGAATCAAACAGCTCTCAGGGAAACCTCTGCAAATGAGTGAGAAATATTGGAAAGAGTATATGCATTAGACATAAAAAGCCATCTTTTTATCTAATCCTGATTGTCCAATTACTATTATTTTGTCCTCATTCCATGACATCACTAGGCCCACGAGCCTGCATAGCATAGCTGAAGGAGTTCAGGCTCCCGAGTAAAACAAATGTGAATTCTGATCAGCACCCTGTTGCTCTGTGGTGTGTCTTGGGCACATTAACTTCTCTGAGCCTCAGTTTCTTCATGGTTATTAACTATGCTCAGTTTTTCAGGCTGCTATAGGAATCAAATGGGGTGATGAAAGTGCCAAGTAGTTGAGTTCTCATTAAATAGTGGCTCCATTGTTAGGGCTTTTGTGGATCTGTTAGAGGACTAGCACAGGTGACGATGGAGAATGTGTAGGGAGGGACACAAATGAAAACTGCTTCCTGTTTCCTACCTTTCCCAGCAACCCTGTTGCTATCGTGCATTGATGCTCTGCCTGTTGTTCATGTTTAATTTTTCATTGCATTCCTTTCTAAACTTGTTCTTTATCCTGTGGAGCATGTTTCTACAATTCTATAAAAATTAAGTGCTTTTTTCTCAGGTATTTCTCTAAACATCCTCACTTCTTGGTTAGAAAACAGAATTCTAGTTATGTGACTATTACCTATTGAAAGTTATTGCTTATTATGATGATATCCAATTAATCATTAGAATTAAGGTTCCCAGTTTCAAGATAATAGTCTAAAGTGTTTATCATATTCCTTAAAATAATTTTTAAGTTCTCTTCAGTTCTTTAGCCTTCTTATTTTTTCATTTCACCCTTTGAATAAATATATTTCCAGTCATACATAATAAGTCTTGCATATTTATGTAACTGTTTTTCAGAAACTAATGGAACGAATTCAGAACCCTGAGTATTCAACAACTATGGACGTTGCACCTGTCATTTTAGCTGCTCATCGTAACAACTATGAAATCCTTACCATGCTGTTAAAGCAGGATGTGTCTCTCCCCAAGCCGCATGCTGTTGGCTGTGAGTGCACATTGTGTTCTGCAAAAAACAAAAAGGACAGTCTCCGACATTCCAGGTCAGAAAGGGAGGCTTTTGGTAAACACCTGGGTGATACAGTAAGGTATACAAGTTCACAGTGCTGACTTTTAAAAATTACTTCTCTATATGCCTCTTTTTTTTTCTTTGGTCAGTCGTGGGGCTTGAACTCAGGACCTGGGTGCTGTCCCTCAGCTCTTCAGCTCAAGGCAAGCACTCTACCACTTGAGCCACAGCGCCACTTTGTTTTTTTTGAGTGGTTCATTGGAGATAAGAGTCTCACGGACTTTGCTGCCCCAGACTGGCTTTGAGCCAGGATCCTCAGCTCTCAGCCTCCTGAATAGCTAGGATTATAGGCGTGAGCCACCAACGCCACTTCTATATACCTCTTTTAAGAAATGTGACGCCAGACTTCTAGCATCTTTGCTCAAGACTGAGTTGACTTCCAGCATCTTTGCTCATGACTGAGTTCTGCATTTTGTAGATGTGTTTACAGGTTGAACAGTACAAAGTCATGTAAGATCCATGGGTATGAATTGGACTTGAGAAGATGATTTTCAATGTTAGAAAGACTAACTGAACTATGGTTTAGATTTGTTTTTTTCCATCAAAACTCATGCTACAATGAGAGTTGCAGCATGGTGGTACTGAGAGGCAGGGCCTTGGGGAGGTGCAGTGCCCTCAGGAAGAGAGGCTCATGTCTGTTTCAAGAGCCTTGGTTTGTTCTCGTGGTCGTGGGTTAGTTATTTTAAAAAATGCCACAAACCTCCCAAGCTCCTCTCACACATGCTTTCTTCTGAGTATGGTGATGTTCCAAGTGATGGTAATGTTTAGGGACTATTTTCATGTGAAGTAGGGAAGGATACTTGATCATTATAGTTTTAAGAAACATTTTCAATATTTCAGTTGCTATGATTGTTTTTTAAAATTTGTGTGTATGTGTGTGCCCATGTGCACTTGGGCATGCACACGCCAGTACTAGGGCTTGCACTCAGGACCTCATACTCACTAAGCTTATTTCATTCAAGGCTGGTGCTCTACCACTTGAGCTATACATCCACTTCTAGCTTTTTGCTGGTTAATTGGAGTTAAGAGTGTTAGGGACTTTTTTTTGTTGTTGTTGGTTATGTGACTTGAACTCCAAGTTTGGGATCTCTCCCTGAGTTCTTTTTGCTCAAGGCTAGTACCATTGAGGCACAGTGCCACTTCTGGTTTTCTGGTGGTTAATTGGAGATGAAGAGTCCCAAGGATTTTTGTTTGTTTGGTCGGTTGTGGGGCTTGAACTCTGGGCCTGGGCGCTGCCCCTTAGCTCTTCACGCTCTACCACTTGACCCACAGCACTACTTCTGGCTTTTTCTGCTTATGTGGTGCTGAGGAATTGGACCCAGAGCCTTATGCATAGGAGGAAAGCACATTACCACTGAGCCACCTTCCCGGCCCCACATTCAAGTTTTTAACAGGATGATCTTGAGTTTCATCCATTCTCCTGCAAATAACATGATTTCTTCTTTATGGCTAAATAATACCCCCATGTGTAAACATACCTTTTTTTTTGTCCATTCGTCTGTTGAGGCACAAAACTTTATGAGTGTTAATAGTACCACAGTAAATTTGGGTATCCAGGTATCTCTACTGTATGCTGACTATCAGGAATATGCCCAGAAGTGGTATAGCTTGATCGTATTGTAGTTCTACTTTCAGTTTTTCATGGAACTTCCATACTGATTTCAATAGTGGCTGTCCTAATTTGCATCCAACCAACGGAGTATAAGAATTCCATTTTCCCAACATTAT